AAAGACTAAAATTTTGTTAAATATTATGTTTTGTCAAATTTAAATTATACAGATTTTTGTTCTTTACTTCTGAAGAAAATTATAAAATTCTTAAACAACTGTGATTAAGAAATAGAAAATTTATTTATTTTGCATTATTTTTGTTTATGACTCACAATTTTTTAAACAAAATTATTATTTTGTTTTAGAAAAAGAAGAAAATTATTTGCACAATTCCTATTTTTAATCTTATTTTTTGAACAGAATTTTCCACAGGAATTAGGACATTCAAAAATTTCAAATTCAAACCTTTTTTAAATTAAACAATTTATAAAAGTATTGTTATAAAACATGAAGATATCGATTGCTCCGGAGTGATCGATTTCTTCATGTTTTCTAATAAATTAAAGATGACCAAATAATAAAATCATTATTTTATATTAAGAATATTATTACTTTATTATTATTTTCATCATTTTTATTCAATTATTATTTTCTAAAATTTTAAACTATTTTTTATGAAAATACTTGAATTCCTTAAAAAAAATTTATTTTTTTTGAAAATACTTGAATTCCTTAAAAAAAATTTATTTTTTATGAAAATACTTGAATTCCTTAAAAAATTTTATTTTTTATGAAAATAATTGAATTCCTGTGAAAATGTTTGTTACAAAATGTTATTTTTTTAGAAACAAAGAAAAACATTTTTCTTAACAATATTCCAAGTTTTCATTAATTTTCTGAATTTTGATCGGAATTCTATCTTCCTATAAAATTAAAAATTTTTAATTTTTTTAGAATAATTCTATAATTATTATTATTTTTTTGTTTTGTTCGCCGTTAATTGTTGTTTTTAATTGTCATTTGTTTTTAACTTAGTTATTCCAGCTTTAATGCAATTTTAGCGAATTTATAGTGAATTATTATTTTTGAAATTAACTCGTACAAATACTCTTCTAAAATATAGTATAGAAAAATGGTTATTGAATGTGAAATATATAAAAAATTTTGAAGAGTGTAATGCCATCGTCTGTGGTACGCATACTAATTTGAGTGAAATTAATCTTGAAAAGCTTTATTTGCATTAGTCGAACTTTTTTCATTCAGTTATGCCGGTCATTTTGACTATGACTGCGGGACGTCAGTTTGGTAAAGTGGAAGCTGTCGAGGAATCCAAATAATGGAGTAGGTGACGTGGTGGCATTGGACATACTCGTGCGTACAACAACGCAAATAGATCAGAGATTTTTCACTCGCACATTATAGGAATGCCAAAATATATAAGCTATTAATTCGCCTGAATATTAATATCGTCAAATTTGAAAAAAAATACTGCCTTACTGCCTTTTTTAAATAAAATTAGCAATTTTAAAAACAATAGAATTTAAAAATTTTCTAATTAAAATTTTTGTTGAAAGCACTAAAAAAATTCAATTTTCGAGAAATTACAAACATTTGCAGAAATTCAATTATTTTCAAAAAAAGAAAAAGAAATTCTTCTTATAAAATTCAACTATGTTCAAAATTTGGAAAAACTTCCAATTACCTTTATAAATAACAAAATTCTTGTCCAAAGTTCAATTATTTTCATAAATGTCAAAAAAAATTTTGTCCTAACTTCAATTATTTACAAAAATTTTTCTAATTTCAATTATTTCCAATTTCTACTATTTTAATAAAATTTCCCAAAAAAGAATTAAATTATTGAAAAAGAAAAAATTTTAATAAAATTGTATGCAAACATTTAATTATTTTTATAAATAATACAAATTTCACAGGAATTAAATTCAAAAATAAGATTAAAAATCGAAATTGTGCAAATATTGTTCTTCTTTTTCTAAATCAAAATAATAATTTTGTTAAAAGAATTGTGATTCATAAACAAAAATACTGCAAAATAAATAAATTTTTTATTTTTTAATGACAGTTATTTAATAATTTTCTAATTTTGTTTAGAAGTAAAGAAGACAAATCTGCATAATTTCAATTTGACAGAACATAATATTTAACAAAAGTTTTAATCTTTTAATGAAAAGAAGTGAAAAAAATTCTGATGATTTTCTATTTGTCATTACAACTTTGAATTAATTATAAAATAAAAATAATTATAACATTAATAATAATAAAGTACATGTTCCAATAATCTCGCGAAGAATTTTATTAAAATTTTCAAAAATCCTAATTAAATTCTTTTGAAGAATTTTTTTGAATTTTTTTGAAACTAATGGAGTTTCTTTAATAATTTTAAATGAAAATTTTGAAAGCAATTGAATTTTATGGAGAAGAATTTTATTAAAATTGTATTTGAAAATAATTAAATTTTTGTAAAGAATTTTACTATTTATAAAAATAATTGTATTGTTCCGAAGAATTTATTAAAATTTTAGAAAATAAATAAATTTTATGTTATTATTTGAAAATTTAAATTCTCTCGAGGAATTCTATTAAAATTCTTTCGAAAATAATTGAATTTCTTTAAAGAATTTTATTAAAATTAAGTCTATATTCAAAATAATTGAATTCATCACAAGAATTGTATTATTTTTTGAAAATAATTGAATTCTTTCAATTTTTTTTTGACGAATATATTTTAAAATTGCATTTTGAAAGTAACTTAATTTTTATATAGAATTTTTTAAAAATAAATATTTTTAAAAAATTCTATATGAAAATTAAAAATAATTGAGAATTATTTTTAGAAAATTCTAAATTCTTGTTGAAATTCAATTTTTATGGAAATTTTTGGAAATATAATTAAAATCTTTTGTGTAATTTTATTTAAATTGGATTAAAAATTATTTAATTCCTTCAAAGAATTTTAGTATTTATAAAAATAGTTGAATTGTTTCGAAGAATTTATTGAAATTTTAGGAAATTATTGAAATTTATGGAAATATTTTAAAATGTTTGAATTCATCCGAGTTATTCAATTAAAATTGTGTTGAAAATCATTAAATTTTTGTAAAGATTTTACTATTTAAAAAAAAATAATTGAATTCTTGCGAAGAATTTGACTATTTATAAAAATAATTGAATTTTTTCGAAAAATTTATTAAAATTTTAGAAAAAAATTGAATTTTTTCGAAATATGTTCAAAATTTTTTAAAAAATTGAATTCTTTCGTGAAATTTTATTTAAATTTTTGAAAATATATGAACAGTAATAATTAATTTTTTACTTAATAAGCGAATTTTTTAAATTTTGATTATGAAATTATTTAAAAAAATTTATGTTTGAAAATAAAAAATTTTGTAATTTGCATAACAATAAAAAATTAAATATACAATCTATCTAAAGTTAACAAAAAACAAAAGTATAAACAAAAGACAACTTTAGAGTGTGAGGGACAGAAAAAGTGAATGAATGAAAGAACATTTAAATTATTATAGTTAATTTGTTTTAAAATTAATAATCAATTAGCTTTACAACATGAATAATTAATTTTATTATATTAATTTGAATTATTAAGTCACTGTTTTGAAAGTGCTAGTTCGATACATATTACAGTTAATTAATTTCACTGTTAGTAAACAATAAGTTTGAGTAATAATAATTAATTGTAACCTAATTAGTTGCTTTTAATACAATAATTGTTAATTAACATTATAATTAATACAAATATTCGAATAAATAATTGTTCAACACTATTTAATATACTGCAGATGTATTCAGAATAATTCTTATCGATCATTATTATAGAAATATTCTTATCAAATTATTTGCGAAATACTCCAGTTGAATATTTAATTTTATTGAATCCATTCAGTGTGATTTAATTTCCAATGAAATTTAAAGTACCTTTCTGGGTATAGAATTATTTTATATATTTTCACATTATTGGCAAAATAATCTGTTTTAATTCCTCAGACTGAAATGCCATTAAATTTTATATACGATTTTCAATGCACACTAAATCCTTCTATTACCGATTTAATGCAGCGTGTTAAACATTTGCATTACATTTAGTGGAATACAATTACACATTTATATATACGAATTTCTCTCTTTTTTTTTATTCTCTTTTTTTCTCTTCGTCGGCTATTTAACTTATTTTAGAATTTGGAGAATTTAAAATAAGAAAATCATCAGTGGCGTGAAATGTTAAAAGCTTTTATATTTTATATAGATATTTTTGTATGGCACGAGGACAAATTTCCTGATCTCTTAGTAAAAGGTTCTCTTGAAGAGGCGCGCACTTTCCATCCAAAACGATTGTTACCATTCGTCAAGAAACGTCCGACTCAATAAAACATTCTGCCGCAAAGAGAATTTCTAAAATTAAACCACAATTTTAGAAACCACCCTACTTGTGTGTATTTATGTTTGTTTTGTATATATATATGCTTCACGAAAAAAAAACTGTTTCGACGACTACATGATTTGTCGATTACATCGCAAAACGAAAATAAATGTTCTTTATAAATTGTCACATTATTTTTTCGTAAATAGAAGAATTTTTCTCTTTTTCAAGCGAAAGGCACTACACTATACGTAGAATCGGTGAGCTTTTTTCTTGTAAAGAAAGATTATCTTTTCATGTACAGAATAATTGATTTCATGACAACGATTTTTCATTCGGTAGGGTTATCAGAAGAGCTTTTTTAACCCTCTGCCTACGCTGACTTATCCCCACTCTAGCGCTTTTGAATGTAATTCCCATAGTCCCCACCAGACGTCCAAATAGACGATTTTAGACGATAACGGTCACATGAGTAGGCAGAGGGTTAAAAAAAAATTCCAATTAGTCAAGATGAGCTTTCTTTAAATATTTTTTGCAACTTTTGTATAATGTTGAAATTTATTCCACTGTATTGAACAATAACAATCGCAATAAATAGTATAATTATAAAATTAAACAAATTAAAAATACAATACATAGTAATATTATTATACTTATTATTAATCTTTGTATTAATTTTAATAATTATAAATATTATAATAATTTGAAAAAATAAACAGAAATATTTTTTTCAAAAAAAAAATGAGAATGTAAAAATTCTTTTCGTTTTTATTTGTTTCAGGAATATTTGGAAGTGAAGTGCATGGTGACAAAAAGGAGACTTTTATATTTTTAAAGTGAGCTTTCGCATATCCGTCATAAAAGGAGCTTTATCTTGGGGGTTTTTCTAAAGTCAAGAAGTAATGCAAGTTTAGTGTGCGTGCTGGAAGTTAGTGTGCATATATACATAAGTATATGTTACAATTCAAGGCCATAAAGTTGTAGACACCCATCTTCTCTCTTTCACATATACATTTGTCTGCCAGCATCTCAGGTAATATATCTTTCAGTAACACCTACTGTTTAATACATTAACTATTTGGCAATATTTCACATAATTACATTATCCGTTAAATATTATAATTCGTCTTTAAATTTACATGCAAATTATTTTTACCACGTTTAAAGCAGTCATTTTTCAATAATTTTATTTAAAACTATAGCTAAAATAACGCACGCGTGTGTTTTCTTTTTGCATGGTATATAAACATAAAAAGAAAAATATAAAAATATAAAAAAAATTTTTTTTTATTTTCATATTAAATTATATTTTAAAAATAAAAGTAAAAATTATTATAAGCAAAAAAAAGGTTAAATGCATATACATATATGCGAAATATTAAAAAAAAAAAACAAAAGCATGCACAAAAGTCTACAAGTTCTGGTATAATAATTTTACTTATGTAGTTTAAAATTAATTGAATTTTCAAAGAGTTGCGTGTACAATTTTAATAAATAGATGAATATGGAAATTTTAAAAAATTTCAATTTTCAATGAATTTTATTAAAAAATTTAGATTATAATCTAAAATTTCTAAAAATCTAAGTATACTTAGGTTTTTAAAAATTTTAATAATTGAAATTCTTCTAAAATTTGTTAAATTTTTTAATATATAGGTATTTAATTAATTATTAAAAATAGTGGATTAATAAACGAATTTTACTCAAAAACATTAAAAAAAATTGAATTTTGGAAAAATTATAAATGATTACATAAATTCAATTATTTTCCAAAGTAATCAAATTCTTTTTCAAAATTCAATTATTTTTAAAAATTTTAATAGAACTTTTGTCAATTTTTTTTTTCAATTTTTTAAAACTTTTTGGCAAAATTTCAATTATTTTCAAGAAATTTCCTCACCTTCATATGAATTCTATTATTTACTTTGTTATAACTTTCTTCGCAATAATTTAATTATTTTCAATAAATAATACAATTCTTTACAGAAATGAATTCTTTTCATAAATAATAAAATTCTTTTTAAGGAATTCAATTATTTTCATAAATAAAACTCATCGCAGAATTTCAATTATTTTTAATACAATTTTAATCGAATCCCTCGAAAAATATAATTGTTCTTAACAATTTTATTAAAATTCAGCAAAGAAATTCAATTATTTTCAAAACTTTTGCTACAATTTATTTATTACAATTTAAATATTATTTTCAATACATTTTTAATTAAATTTCTTCAAAAAATTGAATTATTTTAATAGATAATAAAATTCTTTGTAACAATAAAATTCTTTTCAAAATAATTTTCATAAAATTCTTCGTAGAAATTTAATTAATCTAAAAAAATTTAGCAAAATTCAATTAGTTTCAATGTCTACTATTTAAATAAAATTTCACAAAAGAATTCAATTATTTAAAAAGAAATTTTAATAAAATTCGAATCAGGAATTCAATTATTTTTAAAAGTATATTCTAATTCTTCGCAGAAATCTAATTATGTTCAAAAATTTTCAAAAATTCTCGTCAAAATTTCAATTATCTTTAAAAAAAAATAAAATTCCTCTTCGAAATTCAATTATTTTCAAAAATTATAATAAAATTATGTTATTAATAATTATGTTATTAAATAAATAAATAAATAAATAAAAAATTCTTGGCAGAATTTCAATTATTTTCAAATTTCTTGGAAAATGAAATTATTCTTAAAAATTTTATTAAAATTTGTCAAGAGAATTAAATTATTTAAAAATTTTGTTGATAAAATTCTTTATGAGAATTCAATTTTAAGAAATATTTAATTGTTCAAGAAATTATTTATTTTTGCATTTAAATAATTAAATTCTCGTAGAATTTTCTAATAAAAATTGATTTAAAAATGAATTTCAGTTAACATTTTAGATTTGAATATTTATTATTCAAATTATTCAAATATTCAAATAGTATTTGAATATTAAAAGCATTATAGCATGAATTTTAAGAAATAATAGAATTTTGTAAAGGTTTCAAATTAAATTCTTTGAAAATCTTAATTTTTCATACTTTTAACCAACAATTTTGTAGAATTAATTATTTTGAAAAAGTTTAATTGAATTTTTTTCTGAAGTTATTTAAAGTGTTTATTTTTTAATACATATTCAATTGAAGAATTTCTGAATAATTGAAATTTCGTAAAATTGAATTGTAAATAAATATGGATTTGAAAATTCTCAAAAAACTTTTTCAAAAATTATTAAACATAATTGATTTAAAAAAGAATTTTATATAAAAATTCTAGAAAATAATAATTGAATTAAAATGAGGAAAATAATTTTGAAAAAATTACAGTAAAAAAATGAAGAAACCGATCACTCCTAGTCGAAGACTCGGACTGATCGGTTCCTTCATTTTTTACAATAAATATTCTTATAAGTTGTTAAACTTTAAAAAGGTTTGAATTTGAAATTTTTGAAAATCTTGATTCCTGTGGAAATAAAATAATGATTAAATATTTATTTAGAAAATAAGTTATTAATGTTTTCGAATAATTTTACAATCATTTATAACAAATAGAAATTTTGTAAATATTTTTTCCAAAATAAATTAAAAATTCCTTAAACAAATTTTGATTTATAACATTTTTTTTTTTACTTAAAACTTGTACATTGTTTATAAATTGTAATTGAGAAGCAGAAAATGTGCAAAATATTTTCTACTTTCTAATTTTAATTTTCCAACAATTTTTTAATTTTTTTTTTTTTTAGAAAAAAGGAAAATATAGCTGCGCATAATTTCGATTTGTCAAACAATTAAGTTTTTCATGTTAAAAAAAGGATATTATTTTGCAGGATTTACATTTGTTTATTACCCAAAACGTTTGTTACAAAATGCTAATTTTTTTAGAAACAAAGAAATAATGAATAATAACATTAATAATTTTTTTAAATTAATAAAAATATTTTTGAATTATTTGAAAAATAAAGATAATATTATTAAATTAATTTTTTTTTTTAATGTGCTAGAAATTAGTTAATATAGAAAAAAATCAAATAAAGTTATTTTTAGAATTTTCTTCCATTTAATTTTTAAAATAAATAAATTTATTAATTAATTAATGAACACGGAAGAATTACGAAATTTTCAAACATAAATCGAAAATAAATTCTGATTTATTTTAATAAGCCGCCAACTAGATATCTGTTGAAAGAATTTTCTAATATTATGCGATTAAATTTTCTAACGTAACACGTCGACTATTAATAAAAATATATATTAAATGGAATTAATAAGAAATCCACAATAAAGCACCTGCGGTGTTTTGCATTCAAATTTTTCACAACTAAAATGAAGATTTCATGTTTCAGTATTTTAATGTTGGTCATAAAAACCATGAAGATCGTTGTTTCAATAATTAAGATCCCGAACATTCTTCATTAAATTTAATTAAGTATCTTTTATCAAATAACCATAATATAATATATGTGTATTTAGATAGAAAATTGAAAGACCGCAATGACTTAATTAAATTCAAATATTACTCTTGTATAAGTAAACATTTTTCAAAATTAACTCATGAGAATTTTTTTCAAGCCTTTCCTGAAAATGTTTGGTATTTTTTGTGTGGGTTGAATTTATCATATAAATCCGTAAGAAGGAGTCATCGGAAATATGTAGAGTTTTTTTTCAAATTTGTGTGTATAAAAAGTGTTGTCTTCAAGTAACACGCACAGGTGGCAATTATACACATATATATATATATATATGGGAAAAAGTCAGTGATAGTTATTATAAGGCTTATATTACATATATGAAGAAAAAATTAGTCAGGAGCACATTTAATAATAGTCCACAGAAGCCTAAACCAACAAGTTTGGTTTTCGGTTCCTGGAAGCATGAATGCTATATACGTAAGAAAAAGTGAGATTGGTATCTACGGGCCACCCACAGTTCTTCAAAGTAATGTATTCGAGAATAAAAATCCGATTAAATTGTTCCGAGCATTGAATCAAGAAGAGAAAAAAAAAACAATCGTTTACCTACCGCGGCAATTTTCAACGTACTTTTAGTTAACGAATTACTTTTTTAAAAATATAAAACTAGCAATTATAAAAATAATAGAATTTAAAAATTTTCTAATTTCAATTTTTGTTGAAAACACTAAAAAAAATTATATTTTGGAGAAATTACAAATAATTGCAGAAATTCAATTACTTTCAAAACTATAATAAAATTCTTCTCACAAAATTCAATAATGTTCAAAGTTTTTTATAAAATTTCTCGTCAAAATCACAATATTATATATCTTTATAAATAACAAAATTCTTCCTCAAAATTCAATTATATTTTAAAAAATGTCAATAAAATTCTTGTTCTAATTTAAATTATTTTCACAAATTTTTCTCATTTCAATGATCCTTTGCTCATAAGAAGCCATTCTTAAAATATTGTTAATTATTTATCCTATTTCATACATTAAAAACTAAATTATTTTATTATTCATCATAAAATTTTCCAAATCGATAAAATTTACATTTTCAATAATATATTTTGAAAAATATTACATCGTAAAAAATCAATTATTTACTTCATTCTTAATCATGCTAATAAATTGAATTTCTGCAACGAATTTTATTATTCCATTGAAGAATTAAATATTTATAAAAATAATTTAATTTTTGCCAACGATTTTATGAGAATTTTTTTTAAATAATTGAATTTCAAAGTAGAAATTTATTACTTTTAAAAATAATTCAATTCTTATGATGAATATTGTTATTTATGAAAACAATTGAATTTTGCAAAGAATTTTATTAAAATAACTCAAAATAATAGAATTTTCGGGAATAATTTTGTTATTTATCTTTAATAATTGAATTCTTTCGAAGAAATATTTATGCGTAAATAATTAAATTCTCGGGGAAGAATTTTAATAAAATCTAAAAGAATAATTGAATTATTTTAAAAAATTTAATTAAAATTATGTATTTAAATAATTGATTTCTTTCGATTAGAAAATTCTAATATTTTTGTAAATAATTGAATTCTTCCAAAAAATT